TTATGAGTGGAAATATCTTACCTCAAAAATCGTTCTCATCTTCAAATTACGTTCTTCTAATTCTTCTGAGGTAAATCCAAGGTAAACAACACAGCACAAACACAACGTGTCTTCCAAACTCGATTAAAAGCAGAGGAGGACTGAAGTCTCTGACTCTTTGTTTTTGAGGTAATTAACCCTGTAAGACCCGTGGTTGTAAAATTACAACATCACTTTTGATTCACTTCAAAAAAACTCATCTGCAAGTTTTTTTTTTTTTTTTTAAAGACCACATTTACATAGCTAATGAGTCGTCTTGCAATGCCATTGGATAGTATATGTGTATGTAGGTCTTGCCATAAGGTCATGAACTCGTGCAACCTGCAAACTTTACTGGAAGAGCATCTCCTTGTTTCATTGGACTGGATATCTCAAGTAAGTAAAACCCCAGAAATATTTTTTTTGTTATTGTTAGAATGTGTACTTCATGTAAATATTTGGTTATTGTGGAATGCATGCATCAAATTAGATTTTTAGCTTGTTATGTCTTTGTTGTAATTTTACAACGTTGGGATAGAATGGTAGTCAAAATAGCATGCGCACCTTGCACATTACATGGAGACATTGCACTTCTCAAATATAGGCTACAGGAGAAATACTTACAGAAATATGATGTATTTGATTATTCACAATATCTAAGGCATCGTTTACACTGCATGGTTCAAGTGACCCAAATCCGATTTTTTTTCCTCTCAAGTGGCACAGATCGGATATGACCAGTGAACGTGTAAGCAGGAAAAAAATGCATGGATTCTGATTTTCTCAGATCGGATTCAGGCCTCATTCATATGTGGTAATAAATCGGATATGAATCGGATACGTGCATTTGCGTGTGCCATGTAGGCAGACAAATCGGATATTCCCCAGTAAATGCGAGTCGTACGTCATTAAAAAGTGCCCGATGGAAGAAAGGATACGCACAGTGGAGCAATGCGGAGGTTTCATGTCTTTTGAGTATTTGAGGTGAAGAGTGTAGGCAAAAATGCAGGGTTGTTACAGAAATAAATCCGTTTTAGAAGACATTTCACGAGATATGAGGCATGAAAGGAGATATTAAGTGCTCGTGGCTAGAGCCTCTCCTCTATTTTTCTTACCGTACGAGACCAATGTTTTGATCACTTATTGAAATATTATGGAAAGAAAACACAGGATAATTTTTGCACCCATTGAATTTCGTGCTGTTTTGCTTAATTTCCCGGATCAGAACGTCTGCATTTGGTAGTTTCAGCAGTGTATAGTGTAAATGCAAAAATCGGATGTGGGTCACTTTTAAAAGATGATGTAAGCAGGTTATCAAAAAAATCGGATATAGTCAGAAAATCAGATTTGGGCATCAAGACCTGCAGTGTAAATGCAGCCTAAATGTGTTCTTTGTTATAATTTTCAGTTTAGATCAGATTTGAATAATTTTAAATGAATACATTATTTGTGGTTGGAGTTTCCTGTCAATGCCAGTACTTGAAATTGTTTCTGTATGTTAGTAGTTTTTTTTATTTTTTATCTAGGCTTTGTTTGTTTGCCCAAATATCTGCAAGGCAGACAGTGTTTGTAGACTGCTGTGGAGGATGGTTATTCAAGGTGTGGATGTCCAGACATAGGGGGTTGCGTGGTCCATAGGCCTATTTCACAAAAATGGCCGCCGAACCGGAAGTAGGGTAAACTTTTTTCCGGTGACAGCGCTAGCAGTTACAGTCAGAGGACAAATGCAGAGACTAAAACGAGACTCTGTCCCGTTGCTTACCTTTTTAATCTTTCAAACCAAAGAAGAAACAACCATATGGATCACTTCACAGCTTTTCGTGTTTTGGGGGTTTTCATGGAACAACTATGGAGAAGTTTAATCATGGCAGACGCGTGTGAAGGAGGAAGCAGATGTTGAAATGTAGTGTTGATGCCGGTTCGGGACCAATGCTTTGAAAAAAAATGTTTATATTGCACTTGATTATTATCCGATTTGCACGTCATGTAGTTTTATGTATTATTATTAAGTATTGGCAAATTAAAATTGTTTGTTGAAGATGTTTTCTGTAACTTTCTTCTAACTTTCTGTAAGTTTCCTTTTACCATGGGTGCGCTTTGCCAGGCCTGCTGTTTACGTGTGTGTGCAAGGGCTGGAACATTTATTAAAAGTGTAGAATACTTTCCAATCCGTATATAATCTTATAAAGTCTGACGTTTTTGATATAATAAAATAAACATATTAGAATAACTTTTAAAGTTGTGTGAACAAAAGCAGTTTTTCCCGTGAGCGGGAATGGAAAACCAGGAGTGGATCACGAGCGGAGTGACAACAGAGCGGTAAGAGTGGAGAGAGGAACGTGATTTTGCTCCAGTCCAGGCTTTGATTACATCTCCATAAGCAGGGTGAAACTTCCGACCCATTCAAACTAAAATTAAGACATTTGTTACACTATTTGACAGCCTTAAAATAATGAAAAGGGGAATTTAAGATAAGGACAGGGGGACCTTGACATTGACGGAAATCCCATAACGACGGATAACGTACATGCCTTGTATATTAGTAAATGTATTGTCTCATTTTTTTTAAATACATGAAAATTGCTTATGTAATGTGCAATATATGTATTAGCACCGTATAATTCTGTATGTTTTCAAATATACTGTTAAACCATTTATGATAAGATTTAATTTATTTTCATTAGGGAACCCCAGACAGTTAATATTGTGTAACATCATGTTTTTACCAATTAGTCCAGGAGATTGCATGAATGAAGTGAGTGATATTACATGTTGTTGTTTTTTTAAAATCATGATATTACACAATAATATTTAACTGTCTGAAAGATTTTAGCTGTTATGAAAAGATCATATAATTCCATGTGTATATATATATTTTGTTTTTTTTACAAAAGAAACTAGTAGATTTCACTCATAGCCTACAATCAGACATCATTTCAATTTATTTATTTATTTATTTATTGTTTTTCGATATATTTACGTTGAATGTGAGCAGTTATCAAGTGTCATGACTAGTGTTAATGAATGAAACTTTATGTAAGAAAACGTCAAGAATTTGTAACCTTTGTCCAATTTCGATGTTTTCATAGCTCCCAGAAAACTATCATCAAAACTCAAAACATCTGCTATTCTTACTTTTGTCAGATATATGAATGATTGAGAGAAAACAAGCTGTTCAGTCCATTTTGAGAATGAATGTCGATCGTAGCTGGTCGTATTGTTGTCGTCTGTGTCTGACGTGATTTACCTTCTCCCCAGTTGTGCCATGAAAACACGGAAAGCTGTTAAGTGATAAATTAGGTTGTTTCTTCTCATAAACAGGTAAGCAACATGACAGACCGCTTTTAGTCTCCGCATATTTGTCCTCCGACTGCAGCTGTGCAAGCGCTAAACGCTTTCACCGGAAAAAAAGTTTACCCTACTTCCGGTCTCGGTCGCCATCTTGTGAAATATGCCTATTGTTCAGGGACAGGTGTTAATGTTATGGAATGTGGGGATGTAAGAGGTCTGGGGGTTTTGTATATTCATTTTAGAATTGTGTGACTTCAGTAGGGCTGGGACAGTATGGATTTTTTAACTGTGGTTGAAAAGCAAGAAATAGCCCTTCCCAGCATCTCTAATACGAAAGGAATATTATTAGGCATCGGCTCCCCAACTCACGAAAGGTCTGATCTGCTCCATTTTTTGATAAGTTTTGGTTAAACAACCTTGAATCCATGTAAGACACAGTGTCATTAGACATAATCCATGTCATTAAAATCAATGAATCCATGTCATTAGACACAACGTGCACACATGGGCAGGCCAATGTTTTTTATTGCGGTGATGACGTGATGAGCTCAGACCCGCGGTAGGCGTCAGGTGACTGCAGTATTGCGGTTACTGTCCCAGCCCTAGACTTCAGTGGAATGTATCACATAAATAGGATTCGTTTTCTTTAAAATTATTTATACTTGAACATACTCTAACTCTTGCAACTATTATCTTCATTTCAGAAAGGACACTGCAGACACTGCAAAAAAGGATATTCGAATACGCTCTGCAAGAAGTGCAATCTCCGTCTCTGCTTTTCAGAGAAAAGGAACTGCTTTTAGGATTAAAACTATTGCAAGTGAACACTGGACACTGTTTATGTGACAGATTTCAATCTGTTTTGCATTTAATATTTAATTTTAAGTTTATTTTCAATAAATTCTAATTAATAAAAATATGACTATTGGGTAATTATTATTATTATTATTATTATTATTATTCATATTATTTACTGTTCTGGTGCTATGTAAGCAATCCACACTTCAAATAAGCACTTAGTTGTTCTGTATATTTGTTCTGACAGTGTGAGTGCAAATGCTGAAATTCTGCTCCCCCATAGGCCCAACATTGCAATATTACAACATTTCCTTAAAAACTTACTAAAACATAATTTTGTAAAAAATCCTTCATTATTTGCATCAGAGGCCTCCTACAACAACATCTGATAGGTGAATTTTTTTTTTCTTTTTTTTCTATATTTGTGTCTTACGGGGTTAGGGCATTTACAGGTTACAGTCATCACTCCTCCTTTATGCCTCTGCTCCTCCGTGAGAGATACAAGGCTGGTGCGTATTACAGGTGTCGCTCATTATCAATCACGGCACCAGCCTTGCGCCGTCCTCCCAAGGCCCTCGACCTGGTCCTGCTCGCAACAACACAATATATTGTTTTTATTATGAGTGTACACAAATGAAAGACATTTAACAGTTTTAAATGATGTATAACACTTGCCTCTATGACAAAAATCTACAGAGTTATTTGAATCTCTTTTGCACTAATAAGATAAAAAAGCTAGCTGGTCATACCAGCGTGACCGCTGACCCCAGAGGGTTAAAAAAACAGAATGTCAATCAGGATGATCTCTTTTGTTGAAGTTGGTTAACCAAGGAAGCAGTGTGATCTGGTGGGAACACTAGCATTACTTTTAATCAGATTCTCTCTTTTTTCAGATTAACAGACTGCAATCTCAGTGATCAGCACTGTAATGTTCTGGCTTCAGCTCTACAATCATCAAACTCCTCCCTGAGAGAGCTGGACCTGAGTAACAATGACCTGCAGGATTCAGGAGTGAAGCTGCTCTCTATTGGACTGAAGAGTCCAAACTGTCAACTCAACAAATTGAGGTATTTAAAGGGGTCATGAACTGGCTTTTTAAATTTTATTATATTGCTGTCTGAGGTCAACTTATGACGTTTGCTTGGTTTTTGCATTCAAAAACATCAAAATGAATAAGTAATAGGCTATTTTGTACCCAAGTTGTGAGCCTACCTGAAAAACGGTCGGTTTTTATGGTCATCTCGCGCTGAAGACTTGGAAGTAAATGCCCACTGCTGTGAGTGGATAACAGTTTTACATATTATAATGAGTTTCAACTCACCCGTCGGTGCACGTGGCAACCGGATTCGCCCATACATGTTCGCCCCAGAGTCCGTGTGTTGCACAATTCCTGTCAGACCCAAAATAGACGGCACAGCACTGTTCTTTACTCTTAATCGGTCTGCAAATCTAGTCTTGTTTACAAAACAATCCTCAGTGAAATGAAGCGAACAGACGACAATGTTTTACCTCATCAGCTGGAATGTCATTAAAAAAAAAGTTTATTCATGCAGTCCTATTGGAATCCAGAGGAAGCTTATGCAGGGACTGTCTTCTTCCACAACCAGGCACTGCACAATATTTTGTATCGCCCTGTAACTCGATCCGGTGTGTCATCACGGGGTAGGCATGTATGTTACTATGTGTGTAATGTGTGAATCGGTGGGCGGGGCTAAACTGGCCATGTTGAAGTAGTTGTTGATCTTCTTCTGCGGGGGTGGTGTTTTATGCTCTTTGACGTCATAGTTTCCCACTTTGAAAAATGAGTCGTTTGCTGAGGCTGGTGACAAGGATGTTTTCAGTTCTGAAACTTACAGGATATTCTTATAATATGATGACCTGTTATATGTCAAAAGCTCAAGGAAAATTTTATTTCTCAGTTCATCACCTCTTTAAGGGGATTTCAAATGGTCTGTGCAAAATAATAGTACACCGTCATATATGTATATTTGTTAATGTGACATATTCAAATTTTCTATGCAACTGACAAGGATATTTCACCCAAAAATTAAGTAATAATTTACCCACCTTGTTATTGTTCTAATGCAAGACCACAGAAGGAGAATTATTAAAAAAAAAAATCCGCTCACACCCATTCACATAATGTAAGTGAATAGCGAATAGCATCAACATAGAAAAGAAGCAAAAATATCACAGAGTGGTCCCATGTGTCGTATATCCCAAGTGATCTGGAGTGTATACAGTATTTGGTGAAAAACAAACTTTTATTTGTTACTTAACAAAAGCATGACTGCATTCATAAGACTTGATTAGTGCTGCTGTTACCTCCGACTCACCCAAAAAAGCAGACAAATGAGAAATCAACATTATTAAAAAAACGTGACAAACTCATTAACCTTGAGAAATGCCGTAATTATTAATCAGCTGGAGACAATATGATGTGGGAGTTTTTTTTTGTCTTAAGATTTTGAAAGGACCCACATACCTGGAGCTGAGCTTCTTGCAGGGCAGGCTTACACCAAGATCCGGAGTTGAAGGCCAGAACCACTGTCCTGGTGCATAATTGGGGTTAAAAAAACCTGCTTGTTTCTTCTATTTGCTGCACGTTGAAGCTGGACGTGTGTTTGGTTTCACACTGTCTTGCTCTGTCGGAGCCAGTCATTAATTGCCAGTACCTCAGAGGCTTCCCTTGACCAGGGAAATAGAGGCGGTTGAAATCCCAGAACACATTGGAAAGGGGTAATGCCAGTGGAGGGTTTCTGAAGGGAATTTTAAGCATATTCAGCCCAGTGTAAGAAGCTGCGCCAGTCCCACTGATTCTGCTGTCAGTACATTCTTAGAAACCTTGTGAATTCTGGGTTTAGGCTTTTGCTTTGACCACTCGATTATGAGTGATATCTAGTGTTGCCTCCGTCAACGAAAATTATGACTAAATATTGTCGTCAACAAACCTTTATCACGTGACGAAAACGATACGAGATGCAACGTAAATACTGGTCGTGTGACGATGACTATAACTAAATGTATAATGCAATAATGTTGACGAATAAAAACGAGACTAAATGTGGTTTACAAAAATAAAAACTATGCTAAAATGTCTCTTCATTTTTGTTGACCAAAACGAGACGAGATGTTATTTAATGTTATTTCGTCTCGTACTTGCATTATTATTATGCAGCATTTCTGTTTCCTGTGTCACTTCAGGGGCTGCATCAGATCGCACTGTGCAAACGCATGCGACTTCAGATCCTCAAGCCCCACTCGCGGCATTATCTAGAAGAAGCAGGTGCGTGAGTTACAGCTGTTTCACACACACACCGTGTGTAGCGTGTATGCGGTGCGTGTTGCAGTGTCTATGCAGGAGCAGCGTGCGTTATTGCTTTCACGTGTGCTGCGTTTCTCTATTTTTTATTTATTTCAAATCAGTATTTTAGCCTACATCCATTTTGTCGCGTTGTTAAGGTAGCTGTTATGCTGTTATGCACGCACCGCTCCTAGAGCGCGCGGTATAAGCGCTAATCTATTACTGTAACATGTGCGTGGAAAATACGCACTGCAAACAGAGAATGTGTGAAACAGGCGTTAGCATAAATGACAACAAACAAAGTTAAGTCTGACACAGAGAAAGGGATTCGTCTTTGGGAGAAAAAGAAGAAATGACATTTGGAAAAACTTTCATTTCATCTTGTGTGTAGGCTACTTCTAACATGTTTGGTTGGTAAATATGTTGTAAATTCAATTCAGAGCGTCCTCAGTGTCTGGAATGGATGTATTCTTGAGTCTATAAGGTAACAATAATATAAGAAGATAATAAGAAGATAAGATTGTTTGAAATGGGTTTGGCTAAAAGAAAAATTTGGTTTCGTCTATAGGCCAGCCTACTAGGTAGGCTACTTATATATTGACTGGGTTAAATAGAATTGCCTACTAAAAAGAGACTAAAATACAATTTTCATTGACTAAAACTAGACCAAAATGTCATCGGTTTTCGTCGACTAAAACTAGACTAAAATGTCATCAGTTTTCGTCGACTAAAACTAGACTAGACTAAAGAGTATGAACGTGACTAAAACTAACAAAAACTAAAATGTCAGCTTGACACAAAGACTAGACTGAAACTAAAATTAAAACAGGCCGCCAAAAACAACACTAGTGATATCTAGCTTATATTTAAATTGAATTGGTGGAAGGCCATCCAGACCCGAGATGTGAACTGGGAACCCCAGTCTGAGACAATATCTAGAGGTAGTACATGATAGAAAAGCATGTAGTGGATTAAATGTTCTTCTGTTTCAAAAACTGTTGGGAGCTTAAGTAGAGATGTTAAAGGGTTAGTTCACCCAAAAATGAAAATTAAGTCATTAATTACTCACCCCCATGCTGTACCAACCCCGTAAGACCTTCGTTCATCTTCGGAACACAAATAAAGATATTTTTGATTGAATCTGAGAGCTGGATCAGTCCTACATAGGCTGCCTAAGGGACTGGCTCTTGACGGCCCATAAAGTCATTAAAGAAAAGGTTTAAAAATTCCATGTGCCTACAGCGGCTCAATTATAAGTTTATCAAGCGACGAGACTACTTTTTGTGAGAAAAAAACATAAATAACGACTTCATTCGACTATTCTATTACTTCCTTATGGGCGCATGCGCGAGAACTGAGACGAGGACGTTCTCCTTCGACTACTTTTTGTTACCGCTGCTCCGCTTAGGATTATTACCGCCACCTACCGTATAAAATGATGCTCCATATATAAGGCGCTCCGGATTATAAGGAACAATGTCGTTTTTGAGAAGATTAAAGGCTTTTAAGTGCTAATTGAAAAGCGTATGTACAGCGCGCATCTTCCTCTGCTTGTAAACAGAAAGTTTTGCGCTTCCAGCTATATCAGCACATCATCTTGTACGGTAGGTGGCGGTAATACTCCTAAGCGGTGAGCAGCCGGTAACAAGTCGAAGGAGAACGTCCTCGTCTCAGTTCTCGCGCATGCGCCCATAAGGAAGTAATAGAATAGTCGAATAAAGTCGTTATTTATGTTTTTTTCGCACAAAAAGTAGTCTCGTCGCTTGATAAACTTATAATTGAGCCGCTGTAGGCACATGGAATATTTAAACCTTTTCTTTAATGACTTTATGGGCCGTCAAGAGCCAGTCCCTTAGGCAGCCTATGTAGGACCAGCTCTCAGATTCAATCAAAAATATCTTTATTTGTGTTCCGAAGATGAACGAAGGTCTTACGGGGTTGGTACAGCATGGGGGTGAGTAATTAATGACTTAATTTTCATTTTTGGGTGAACTAACCCTTTAATCGACATGCATTAAAAACAAATCATGACTGTAGAAAATTGGTGTTACCCTGGGAGGCCAGGAGATCGGTGACAAAATCATAAACACAACGTATCTTCCAAACTCGATTAAAAGCAGAGGAGGACTGAAGTCTCTGATTCTTTGTTTTTGAGGAAATTAGGGCATTTACAGGTTACAGTCATCACTCCTCCTTTATGCCTCTGCTCCTCCATGAGAGATACAAGGCTGGTGCATATCACAGGTGTCGCTCATTATCAATCACGGCACCAGCCTTGCGCCGTCCTCCCAAGGCCCTCGACCTGGTCCTGCTCGCAACAGCACAATATATTGTTTTTATTATGAGTGTACACAAATGAAAGACATTTAACAGTTTTAAATGATGTATAACACTTGCCTGCAAGGGCGTAGATTACGCGGGGGACGTGTCCCCCCCACATTTTATAAAATGTAAATTTATCCCTTGCACTTTTTCATAGGGGAAGTGTTCACGACATGTTGAGGTTTTCGCAAGCCAGTCTGTATTTATAGATACAGATTTAAAATTCAAACAGAAAAGATCGCCTATCTACTGTATCTACACGTGACTTTCACGTTGCCATGGTAATCAGTCACTCGCGCAGTGACTCGCGCTCGTGCATCACCACACGCCTGTGCTCGCTCCCGCACTGAATCCATCGTCGAAGGTCAAAAGGAATTCAAAACGGCGAAAAACACTTCACACTTTTTTTTCGCAAAAAATCAAGAACTGTAAGTTGTAATG